TGATAAACATTCTAATGAAAATGTTGCATCAGTCATAAGAAAATAAAAGTGCATTTTCAGGCACAAGTTGGAATTAATGCAGTAATGACTGAAGAATATCATTTTAAAATAACATGATTTATTTACTATGAGCTCTGACAAGAGACACATAAACAACATTCATAGTAATGAATGTGATAATTATAATTCCTCCTCTTCAAATTGCCCAAATACTCTCCTTTGTATAAATATTGGATCCAATCATATCATGGAGAATATGATTTAGATGAAAATGTAATTTTACTTTTTGAAATACAAGTTAATACTTTTTCTGGAGAGAAAGCTTTAAAAAGGAAATGGATTCTTATCTGTGCAGCACTGTCTTTGAAAGTGTGAGGGAAGCTGGATGGCTACACATAGCTTACTAATTGGATTGCATTTCTTTTTCTTTCTAGTCAAACAAGCAATAGGCAAGCCAGAGGCTGGGTAGAATTCAGCAAGAGGTTGATCAATTTTTTTGCAAACAAACCATCTAGAGGATATGTATTTATTTTTGGCAGTTAAAATCACATTTAAAATATTTATAGTTATAAAGGTAATTCATACATATTTCCAAAATGTTGGAAAATCTTAAAACCATGAATAAGAAAATAAAGAAATAACTTATATTTCCACTAGTAGAGAAACTAAAGAGCCTCTTGCTGAGGGTTAAAGAGGAGAGTGAAAAAGTTGGTTTAAAACTCAACATTCAAAACACTAAGATAATGGCATTTGGTCCCATCACTTCATGACAAATAGAAGGGGAAAAAGTGGAAGCAGTGACAGATTTTATATTCTTGGGCTCCAAAATCACTGCAGACAGTGACTGAAGCCATGAAATTAAAAGACACTTGCTCCTGGGAAGGAAAGCTATGACAAAACTAGACAGGGTATTAAAAAGCAGAGACATCAACTTTGCTGACAAATGTCCACATAGTCAAAGCTATGGTCTTTCCAGTAGTCATGTGCAGATGTGAGAGTTGGACCACAAAGAAGGCTGAGCACAGAAGAACTGATGCTTTTGAATTGTGGAGTTGGAGAGGACTTGAGAGTCCCTTGGACTGCAAGGAGATCACACCAGTTAATCCTAAAGGAAATCAACCCTGAATATTCATTGGAAGGACTGATGCTAAAGCTGAAGCTCCAATACTTTGGCCACTTGATGTAAACAGCCGACTCATTAGAAAAGTCCCTGAGGCTGGGAAAGATTGAGGGCAGAAGGAGAAGGGGATGAAAGAAGTTAAGATGGTTGGATGGCATCACTGACTCAATGGACATGAGTATGAGGAAACTCCAGTAGATACTGAAGGACAGGGAAGCCTGGCATGCTGCAGTCCATGGGGTCACAGAGAGTCGGACACGACTGAGCAACTGAACAACAACAGTAGAGAAATATATTGTTGACATTTTGCTGTATATTCTCCTAGTTGTATGTATGTCTATATTAATACAAATGTGTCCCATAGCCTTTCAATACTAGTTATAATGTGAATGAGATTGAAATTTGAGGACATTTGTCATGTCTTGATAATTTAGATTTTAAATTTGGATTATAGAACTTCTGCTTCTGGCCACAGTGGAGTGAGAGGAATGGAACTCATACCTGATAAACCTAAAAATCCAGATATGAAACAACTTTCAACTGATTGGACATTGGGTCATGAAGGACACTTAGAGGTCTCTAAGAAATGGAAAGCAAATGAATTAAGTCCTACAGTGCCCCAGTTTACACCTGGGTAGATAATGCAGGCCAATCCTCTGTCCTGGACAATCTGGTGGCAATGAAGACCAGCAGTCATAGCCACAAGACACCCACCTTCTAGTGTCCCAACAGCTCAGAAACCAAGGGAGGCAGCCTGAGCCAGGGACAATACCTGGATCATTTTTTAATGCATGCCCATGCCTAGCCCTTTAGCCATAGAGTCTCTGAGGTGATTAGTCCCAAGGATTGCCTCTCCAGTTGCCCCCTACTTGTGGCTGTGCATTGCCTTCCACTCTTCACAGGTGCCCCTGACCTATCTCAACTGGTAGATGTCGGTCCCCAACCCCACTCACTCACATAGCCCTAGCTTCTATGGAGGGGTTTACTCTGCACAGGAGCAACACCCCAGCCTCCAGCAGGCATCAAGACAGCTTCCAGTCCAGGGACATTGACAAGGGTGCCCTGCACCCCTAGAGGTGTCAAGAAACATAGCTCATCCAAATGATGGAGGGTAGCACCTGTGCTGTTTCCAATAGGACACAATGGGTGGTGGGGAAGTGAACGCATGGTATCTGGTACATGGCCGGCCCACTCCTCCAATTGACTTACTCACTCAGACCACACTGAGACTTCCAGCATTTGTGACCACAAATGCTGATTCCCCAGCCTATTCTTTTTTTAAATTAGTTTATTTATTTTAATTGGAGGCTAATTACTTTACAATATTGTAGTGGTTTTTGCCATACATTGACATGAATCAGCCATGGGTGTACATGTGTTCCCCATCCTGAAACACCCTCCCACCTCCCTCCCATCCCATCCCTCAGGGTCATCCCAGTGTACCAGCCCTGGGCAACCTGTCTCATGCATTGAACCTGGGCTGGCGATCTGTTTCACATATGATAATATACATGTTTCAATGCTATTCTTGCAAATCATCCCACCCTCGCCTTCTCCCACAGAGTCCAAAAGTCTGTTCTTTACATCTGTGTCTCTTTTGCTGTCTCATATATAGGGTCATCATTACTATCTTTCTAAATTCCATATATATGCATTAATATACTGTATTGGTGTTTTTCTTTCTGACTTACTTCACTCTGTATAATAGGCTCCAGTTTCATTCACCTCGTGAGAACTGATTCAAATGCATTCTTTTTAATAGCTGAGTAATATTCCATTATGTATACGTACCACAGCTTTCTTATCGATTCATCTGCCAATGGACATCTAGGTTGCTTCCACGTCCTGGCTATTGTAAACAGTGCCCAGCCTATTTTTATAATGCATTCAGTACCACCCACCCAGGTTCCCCACCATCTTGTCTTCTGGCCCCTGAACTCTGGACTCAGAGAGCCCAACCAGCCTGCCTGGGCCTCTTCTGACTTGGCTTTGTAGGTCTCTTTTCTGGACTCTGGCAATTGCTCTTGCCAGGATGCGCTTAACGACCCTCACTGACTGACTGTGTCCTGTCTGATCTTTTCCCCTGGCTCCTGGTCATTCTGGCTCAATTCTTGCTTTTTGAAACAAAGGGGAAAGGCCCTGCTGACATTAAATACTGCCCTGAGGCATCCCTTTACTCAGGACTTCACTGCCTAAATCTGTCTTTATATGGGTGAGGAATTAAATTAATTTTCTGCTTAGCCTAATGAGAAAAGGGGAGACACAAATTAAACTAATGCTGATATAATATTTGGGGCTGTTCCACTGGGAGCAGGGCACAATCTTCAGAGAAGAGGAAGTGATAAGCTGATTAGCAGGCCACATTCCAGAGTGGGACAGAAGTGCACATGAAGGAAGACCACTGGAAGGGTGTGTGATGCAAGAAAGTGCCAGGCCCCAGGCAAAAGTGTCAGCTCCTGGGCACAGTCAGCTTTCAAGGAGCCCTGGGGCTCAGGCACGAGGGTCAGAGGTAAATTAAGGCCACACACACAATCCAGAAATCCAGTTTAATTCTCGTTATCACCTTTCTTCTTTAGTCCTGCTTTTAGTATCTTGGCCACAGGGCCCTTCTTTCTGTTGCCATGATGCAGTACTGGGAAGAGAAATGAACTAAGAGACAAAAGGTCTGCCTTAGGCTAGGAGGAGTGGGGACAGCTTGGATCTCAGTGAATTCAGACCAGGGATCCAGTCCTAGCTTTGTCACTTACTGGATATGTGATACTGGGTCCATGACCAAGCGGCCAATATGAGCCTTAGGTTCTTCATTTGTGAAGTGGGTTTAACAAGCCCTGACTTGTGGGACTGTCAAGCACATGGCCTGGCATTTAATGGACCTTTAATAATAACAATAATTCTAATATGATTTTGACCCTAGACTTTATCATTCTCCTGGGATTGTGTGTGTGTGTGTGTGTGTACGCGCGTGCTCCATGGCATCTCAGAGAATATACAGCACTCTCTGACATAAAACAAGTGAGCCTCAAATGCTTCTTTGTAACAAAACTCAGTAAATTTTCCTTGCTAGTAGCTATAATCTTTAACTTGGATATTGGGTGGTCTTCCCCAGCTGAATGCAACTCAAAACTCCCAGAATTTGAGTCAAGGACTAACCCTTTCCTTCCTCCCAACTGCTCTTCCATCCAAATGACTATTTTCATTCATTTCACCCCTACCAAAGATCTAGCCCTTGCTTATGGTTGGCCAAATTACACTGATGACAACTTATTAATAATTAAATGTCCTTTCAGTGCCATGGGCTCTGTTTCTCCTAGCAGGGAAAAAGTGCCAGCCTCTGGGCACTGCTTCAAAGAAATATCAGCCTTTTCTCAGGAAATCCTTTTAGACGATGTGTACAGAACACCAAGTTTGTATACTGTATTTAGTGGTGTGGGGACAGAAGGCAGGACATCTTCCACACCTGCTCCAGGTGGAGAGTGGGCTCTGTTTCTCCGTGATCCCAGAGGAACTGCCAGGGGCAATTTTCCATTCTAGGCTTTTCTCTCACCTCTAAGACCCACCTATAAGCACAAATAAGCCAGTGAGCCAGGATTCTCATTTATTATTCTCATTTATTCTCATACATTGCTTAATTATCCAAGCAAATCTAAGTGTATATCTTTAACTTTACAAAACAACAGATGAAAAGAGATATAGGATTCTTAGGATAACTACCTTTTACATTTTTTTTCTTCTGTTTCTTGATCCAATCTATTTTATTGTTGGGCTCTTGCAGGTTTCTAAGGAAATTCCTATTCTAATGCCAGGTTTAACAGAATAGCAAAATACTTATTCTAAAATCTGACAAACAGCAATAAGTATGTGACCAACGTCATTCATGAACCTAGATGCTGGCCATGGCAGAGGTAGCATCCCCAGCAGCAGCTCTCGCCTGGGCTTTCTCTTTCTCATCTTTCAAAGCTTCCTCATACCAGGATGGGAAGGAAGTGGGGTCATCCCCACTGACCTTGGAAAAAAACTTCAAGATTTTCATCTTGCTGGTTTCAGCATGGGCCCTTGGACCCCACAGGAATTCATAGCATGGAGGATCACTGTTGGGCACCTGCTGGTACTCCAGATACCCTTCCTTCACCAAATCTTTGGTGATGAGCTTCCTGGGCTCCCCGTAGATGAAATCCTTCAGCCCAGCAAACACCCCAATCATATGTAGCACATGCCAGATTCTCTCCTCAGTAGCACGGTTGCCCTCCATGAAGATCACACCCAAGATATATATCAGGAGGCCGGTCTTGGGCATGCTCTGGCCATCATTCAGCATCCCATCGTAGGTGAGACCTAGTGTCGTCTGGAGCACATAGGAGTGGCTGGTTGGGTCTACTTCCTTTGCTTCAAGGCCGAAGACAATCTCCATGCATTCACAGGCTTTGCTGAAGATCTCAGGGAAGTGATCCTCATCCTCTTTGATGACATTCTCCAGTATTTCTGCCTTTGTGATGGGCTCCTTTTTTGCATATTTGGCATTCATCAACTGTACCAATTCAGCCACCTTCCTGTTTAGCACATCACCAAGCAAGAATGTGGGAAACTGGAAGCTGCTTGGACCCTCTTCTTGGCTGCTGCCCTCATTTGATTTGCTCAGTGGAATGGCTTCGATGGTAGTGGAGGAGGAGCAGGCCCCCTGAGAACTCTGGGGAACACTCTGTGCCCCAGCAGTAGGCACAACCTCTGGGGTGCCTTGGATCAAAGAAGAGGGCAAGGAGGCGGTGGCCTTCTTCTCCTCAGCTACAGGAACCTGTGAACCCATCAGGCCCTGAGCCTCTTTTTCAGCCTGAAGGCCTACTTCAAGCTTCTGGCTCTGACTCTTCTGACTGTAAGGCATGGTGATGCTGTTGAGGGTGGCAGGCAGAGGCGTAGGCAAGAGGTGGTGATTAGAGCTAATTGATCTGAGGAAAAGAGGAAGAATGTGAGAAACTCAACCCTGTCAGCTCCAACCAAGGCTATCTTAACAGATCTCCCCTTAGATAGTGCTTGGGTGGCAGTCTCCTGTTTTCCTGACTGATCTGTGTCCTAAGAATCCCGAGAAAGCTCCTCAGGGTGTAACCAGCCGGCTTAGCCTGTAGATTCCAGTAAGACAGCAGGGTGTCCAAGGTTGGGCACTGTGGTGTCCCCTCTGTTCTGGTGTGGCAGACATTCAGGGACATCACCTTGACTGACTCCTGGCCCTGTCTGGGCTTCTTCTGCTTAGCTGACCTGAGGACACACATCTCAGACCATGGCCCTCACCCCCAGGATGACGTGAATCCGTATAAGAGGAGCTAAGGGGCACCTCAGGCTGCAGCTACAATCACAATCCTGCCCCAAACTCAGAGCACCAACAGGAGGGGGAAGGCCAGACTTTGTGATGTCCTCACTGTTCCAAGGTGGATGGTCCCATCAGTGCCCACTGAGAGGCGTCATCTTTCTCCTGTCCAGGCAGGCCTGCACCCACCCCTCTGCTGCTCTGAGACAAAAGTCTCAGAACAAGAGTTCACACTCCTCAAACCAAGAGGAGGAAGTGAGGGGGGCACCACATTTGGCCACACCTGCCAAGGGTCTACCTGGGGTGACATAAGGGCTGGGTGAACTCTGGGGAGCCAACTCTCTTAATAGGGGGTTCATGGGAATCCTTATGTTGAGGCTTGTAACTCCTCCCTCTGCTGACCTGAGGTAGCCCTCCTGAAACTAAGGTCTCACTTTCCTGAGATAACAGAGGAGAAAGTGAAGGGGCACCACACTCAACCACACACCCTGGGTCCCTGATGACTGAGAGCAGGGGCAGGGAGGTGTGGGCCCCTTCTGTTCTTCAGTAGCGGGTCCACTCCATGCTCCATCCTCCAGTAAACCCCTGGCAGAGCCTGAGACTCATCCCTCTGTTGCACTGAGCCTCATGAGACCAGCAGATGGGGGTGCGTTCTTCCCCTTCAGCTGACTTGCAGCTGAACCTTTGAGGCGCAGGCTCTGCCTCCCAGAGACCAGACAAGAGAGCGGGGCTTGGGGGGCTGGTGGCAGGCAGCACAGGGCACTGGAGCAACCCTACTTGGGAGTCTACTGGGGTTGATGGCAGGAGTGGGAGAGGTCGGAGATCCATCTCTCCACAGCTGAAGGGCCTCCCTCTCCTACCTTCGGAGTCCTAGTCTCCACTCTTGCTAGGACTGGGGCTCCTCCCTCTGCTGACTGGAGGGTGAGCCCCTCAGACCATGGCGGCCACCTCGCAGGGACTACTGAGAAGGGCAGAGGCCAGGAATCTGCCAGACAGACCTGCGGGGTCTCTGGGGCCTGTGGCAGGGGCAGGGAGATGTCTGCACAACTCTGTCTACGTCGGGGTTCCAGTCAGGTAGAAACACTCCTTTCCTTGGACTAGAGAGGGCTTCTGTGGGGCGAAGGCCACCATGTCTGAGCCCCCAGGGAGGCGGGGTTGTCGGGAGGATGGAGGCGCCTCCCTGGGCCTCTGACGGTACAGAAGGGCAGGTCCCTGTGGGTCTCCTCGACCTCTCAGCCCACCTGGAGCCCACCGTTCCTTCATCCTGCAACCATCATCGCCCTGAGGTGCCAGACAGAAGTCAGAAGACAAAGAGGGGCGCAGCGCCCCCTAGCCCAGCTCAGGTCGCCTCAGAGCTGACAGCAGGTGGGGCAGGTGTCATGGGCCCCTGGGTCCCCAGAGAACAGGGCAGGGTGGGAGCCTTCCTCCGCATCCTCACCTCCATGTCCCCCACCCTGAGTCCCCCACCGACGATGCCACTGTGCTTCAGTTCCCTGGAGTGGAAGTTGAGACACATCCAGAACCCTTGCCTGGGGTCTCCCAGGGACGAAGGCAGGGACAGAGCATGCCAGAGCCAGGGGCTGAGCGGGCCTGGTCTCCTTGCTCTGAATACTCACTTTGAATCCAACCAACCTCTGGTGGGGCCTGGACTCCTTCCTCTGCTGCCCCTCAGGGGCACCTTGCTGGGAAAGCCCCACAGGTTTCACCTTGACCGCGGCACTCTGAGTGCCCTGCCTGGATCCACCTGATGTCTCACCCTTCAGATAAGGAGCCTTCCGTCCCCAAGAAGGGAGTAAAGGGGAACCTCCACCTGACAGGCTTCTGTGGGGGTCCATCAGAGCTGATTGCAGGGTCAGGGGGCTCTGCATGGCTCCCTGTGTGTTCTAGGTTGGGGTCACCCTCATCTTCCCCTGGGCCTGCATCCCTTGCCCTCAGAAGGCCCTTCTCTCCCGAGATGCCCACTGCAGAAATGGAATGGGTAGTGTGGTGGCACCTGTTCCTGACATTCCTGCTTGGGGTCTTGGGTACGTTTCTGTGGGAAGCCTCTGTTTGGGATGGGCAGATAATTTAGCCCTCCATAAGGGTCCTCTCTTTCATGCCTGGAGGGGTCTGGGAGTCCTTCCTTGGTTGACCTGAGTGCTCCCCTCAGATCAAAATCCTCACCTCCGTGTAAATGTATCTCTTTTGCTGGTGGAAGTCAAGAGTCTGCCACATCTGACTATCATACCCCAGGGTCTCCCAAGGCTAACATCTGGGGTAGGATGGGTTTGGAGACCAGTTTCTTCTATGGTGGGAGTTTTTAGTCCCTTCTCAGGATCATCACCTTGACTCCTGGCACTAAGTTAGCCTTCTCCCTCTGTGGGCCAGAGTCTGTCCATATCAAATCAACTGTGGAAGACAGCTGCCCAAGCTTGTCATTCTGGAACAACTTTACTGAATTTGTTCATTATTTCTAACAGTTTTGTTGTTGTTGTTGCTGAGGTTTTACAGTTTTCTGTGTATATGATTATATCATTTCAACTTGAAGAACTGCCTTTACTATTTCTTGTAAGGCAGGTTCAGTGGTGATGAGCTCCCTCACCTGTTTTGGTGTGAGAAAGTTTATATTGCTTCTTCATTTCTGAAGGAGAGCTTTGCCAGGTGTAGAATACATGTGCATGTATTTCATTATTTTCCTTTTAATGTCCATGGAATCAGAAGTGATGCTTCCTATTTTATTTCTGATATTTGTAATTCTGTCTTCTTTTCTCTTGGCTAGCCCAACTAAAAGTTTATTAATTTTATTGATCTTTCCAGAAAACCAATTTTGTGTTTCCTTGATGCTCTCTATTGTTTTCCTGTTTTCAATTTCATTGATTTTTTTTACTCTAGTTTTCTCTCTGCTTTCTTTACAGCTTTGTTAAGTTGTACTTCCATTTTTACTTAGACTAAGCTACATATTTTAAATCTCTTTGGGCTTTTTTCTTTAACTTACAAATTATTTAGAAGTATGTTATTTCATTTCTAAATATTTCAGAGATACTCTAACTACCTTCTTATTACTAATTTTCAGTTTAATTCCATTGTGGTTTGTGAACAAACAGTATAATTTCTATTCTTTTAGGTATGTTTAATGGTTCTGAATTTGTTCTATCTTGATAAATGCTTTATGTCACTTGAGAGTAATATGTATTCTGTTGTTGTTGGATGGAATATTTTATAAACGTCAAGTAGATCAAGTTGATTGATAGAGTTCTTCAAGTCACCTGTTTTTCTACTGATTTTCTGCCTTTTTGATCTATCAATTACTTCCAGAGTGGTAGTGAAGTCTCCAAATACAATAGTAGATTTGCCTATTTCTTCTTTCATCTCTATCAGATTTTGCTTCACATATTCTGATACTTTGTTTTTAGTTGCATACGCATTTAACATTTCTATATTTTCTTGGAGAATTGACTTATTTTTCACTATGTTATGCCTCTCTGTGTCTCTAATGATTTCCTTGTCCTATAGTCAAAAACAAAAAACAAACAAAAAAAATTTTTCCATATCTTTACCTTTAGCCTACCGGAATCTTTATCTTTAAAATGAATTTCTTTAGACAAAATGTGATTGGATATTGTTTTATATCACTTTGACTATCTGTGTCTTTTAACTTGTATAATAGATCATTCACATTTAAAGTGATTGTTGATATAGTTGGATTAATGTTTACTGTTAATATGTTTGTAACTGTTTTCTATTTGTTTCATTTATTCTACATTCCCCCCCACTTTTTCTGCCTTCTCTGCTTTTATTTGAGAATTTAATATGATTCCACTTCATCCCCTCTTTTAATTGATCTATATCTTACTTCAGTTTCATTGACTACAGTAAAATCTTTGTGCGGATCACAACAAACTGGAAAATTCTTAAAGAGATGGGAATGCTAGACCACCTTACTTGCCGCCTGTGAAAACTGTATGCAGGTCAAGAAGCAACAGATAGAACTGGGCATGGAACAATGGACTGGTTTCAAATTGGGAAAGGAGTACATGAAAGCTGTTTATTGTCACCCTGCTTATTTAGCTTATATGCAGAGTACATCATGTGAAAATCCAGGCTGGATGAAGCACAAGCTGGAATCAAGACTTCTGGGAGAAATATCAATAACCTCAGATATGAAGATGACACTATCCTTATGGCAGAAAGTGAAAAGGAACTAAAGAGTCTCTTGATGAAGGTGAAATAGGACAGTGGAAAAGCTGGCTTAAAATTCAACATTCAGGGTGGTCCTAAGATGGTGGAGGAAAGGACCAGGAGACCATTTTCTCCCCACAAATTCATCAAAAGATCATTTGAACATTGAGCAAATTCCACAAAACAACTTCTGAACACTGGCAGAGGACACCAGGCACCCAGAAAAGCAGCCCATTCTCCTTGAAAGGAGGTAGGACAAAATATAAAAGATAAAAAGAGAGACAAAAGAGTTAGGGATGGAGACCTGTCCCTGGGAGGGAGTCATGAAGGAGGAGAAGTTTCCAAACACCAGGAAACCCTCTCACTGGCGGGTCTGTGGGAGAGTTTTGGAATCCCAGAGGGCAACATAACCGGGAGGGAAAAAAAAACACCCACAGATTAGGCACCTAACTGCACCTCCCAGAGAAGAAGTAGCCCAGAAGCTTG